CTTCCTTATTTATCGACATTTTGCAATAAAAAAAACTGAATTATCCTCGAAATACATATATTTGAAAACATAAACGTTCATTTCAAAAGCACTTCAAATTTTTTCAAAAAATAATTTCCAAGAATACGTGTTTTTCCGACCATGCAGGTAGGCATAACCCCTTAAACTGTCTTTATGATCGTTTGATTATCTTATGTCAAAATAATCTTTATTCGTATCACAATTTGTTAAACAAATAATCGATTAAAGATATTTTTGCATTACCTCATAATCAGCGTCGTCCATCTTAGATTCGACGTTTTCATCGATACATTTAACGTAGATTGTTGCTCTATCGTACTTCAAGCTTTCTAGACGTTCCTGTTCAACCTTCGCTAACATGCAAGCTGCGCATAGGCCTGAAACAATAGGAAATACTTTCGTGATGCTTTATGCGTTTCAAAGTGATGAACATTATATTTGCAAATATCTATTATTTCTTTAACGTTTTCTTCAAATTTTCTAGGTATTCTTACATTCATAACAAATAAATCTTGTTAGCTTCTTCCTCTTAAAAAAAAAATTCTAAGGAGATGCTAAACCGATTACTGAACTTGATCGAGGTCGATAGTACAGACTTTTTTAATTCCAAATTCGATAATAGTGGTGACATCTTTGATTTAGTTTTTACATTATATTATATAATATAATTCTGTCTTACTCAAACGCATACATCTATTCTTATCTAACATATGCCAGCAACATCTATCGCAAGGCCGCGTAACTACTACTACACGGAATTTCGGCTCTGTTGACAATCCCAGTCTTCGCAAAGCACCTGTACACACGTATTTTCTATTCGGTGGCGATACTTTTTTCTAGACTTTCAATCTTAGTTCTACAAACTCGGTATCGTTCGTTCCAATAATGTGACCTCAGCTGCACGCTTATTTTCAACATGGAAAAACAAGATTTGCTAAAACAGCTAAAAACTTCATTGATTTAGCAAATCTACAGCCGTAATATAGGCACAGCCA